TTTTTTAAATGCCAGCAATTGATTTTTTAAAAATCCATCCTCATTTTGCATTCAAATGAGCAGGATTTCTATTGTGATGTACAGAGGCCTGAGCGCCCTGACCTCTACTGAATGTACATGGCCGACTGTCCTTAGGACTCAAAGAATGAGTGTCTTAAGTAAGTGGAGAGACTTACGCATAGCCCAGCTAAGAGGCTCTAAACCCTTCCTGTGCTTACAGTGCAGAGAATCAGGAAAACACCAGTTCAGTCAAAAGAGTAAGATTAATCTTCATGCATATTAATTATTGATGATAAAACCCTTATTCATATTAATGGTAATAAAACATTCAATTCTTTAACACTTGCTTAGCACCTGCCTGGGCCAGGGGGTCCTGCTAGGTGTGGGGATCGGTGGTAAATAGGTCCACATTCTGCTCTTAAGAAGCTTACAGTTTATGGCAGATGCACACAAATCAACTGAGTAGGCGACAGCAATGACAAACACAGACACAGCCCGAGCGAGGCAGGTCAGAGGCGGGAGAGGCTCAGGCCCTGTAGAGCAAATGGAAAAGCACTGCCTGGCCCAGTATGAACAATAGAAACAGAAAGTGTTTTCATGCGAGGATTTGTTTAGTGAACACAGACCTGCATGAATACAATGTCCTCTTGAAACGCAATCTCAGTCTACAGAACAAGAACCCTATCCGTGGGAAAGTGATACCAGTCCTCCCGAAATACCAGCTCCCACAACAACCCCCTAAAGGCTGCGGACAGCTAAGGAAAGGAGGGGACCGGAAGCCGCCAACAGGGTCTGCTTCCACTTCTTTACACACACCAGACCCCTCGGTGTGCGAACCACGGAGACCAAGCAACGGGGCGTCATTAAATCTGGGCCCTCCTCCCCCCACATCCATGGTGCTTGCATCACAAAGAATATTTTGTTGGCCTGTGTTTTCAGAATAAACTCCACAAACTCCACTGGCGTGTCCTCAGGGCCCCCATTATTTATAGAATCACAATTGTGTCATATTCTCTGAAGATAATTTCTAGGAAAGATGTTTCAGTATTTCAAATGCTTAGACAAGTTTCCCGAGGCCAACAAAAAGCCCTCCTTTCTCTTTATTGGCCTGCCCTGAACCGCCCAGCCGCCCAGCCGATACTTGGTTAAGCACAGTCATACTTTACTCTGAACTTCAGCTTCTGTAAATATTTGGAAAGAAACCTAACATGTAATGCTGTGCAGAGCGATATGCGAGCTGGTGGTGAATATAGGACCATTTGGAATCACCCCAGAATGAAGGAAAGTGGCATTTTGATGTGGTCAGCCCACCCCCCTTCTAGCCCCTGCAGCCCCACTCTATCAGAAACATTAGACCAAGTTCTTCCCAGGAATTTCACACCCGCTACTTATTTCACCCAAACTGTAGGAGACTGAGTCCCCAGTCCCAGGACAAAGGAGACGAGGAAGGTGTGGGTCAGATGATTACAACCATGGCCTTCTAGAAATTAGAATTTCTAATTCCTAGAAAATTAGAAATGGAATTTAAAAACACACATAGGAAACTCAGTACTATGTATAAACAAACATAAAGAATTATTGATACTGTACAACACATGTTCATTATTCCTCCATCCCCTGATTTTGCAGAGGAGGAAATTGGGGCTCAGGGTGTGGTCCTGACTGGGCTCAAATCCATTAGGGGTCAAATCTGGACTAACTCCTCAGCCACGAGAGCTCCACTCAAATGGGGGCAAGCACCTTCAGCCCCGCAAACCACGAGGCCAGACAGGGGTTCCTTAAGGCCGCGTCACCGAATCTGGGAGAGCTTAGTGCTTTTTGTGGAGGAAGGGCCCCAAGTGCCTCCAAAGCAAAACCTGAACTAATGGTTGGACTTTGTCTCTCCAGCTCATCGGTAAAGACATCGAAGAGGCCATTGAAGCCGAGACGTCGGGAGATCTGCAGAAGGCCTACTTGACCCTCGGTAAAGCAGAGCCAGGCGGGTCCCTCGCTTAGGTTGGGGGGCCTGGAGACAGACTCGGGGACGGAGCTTTGTGCACAGGAAGCTTTCATAGGATAGTTTGGGAACAACATCTCTAGGCAGCACTGGGCAAGGCCGGGAATGAAGGTGATACAGTGTGAACAGGGGCTTTGCCGGTCCCCAAGGAGTCCTGAAACTGGAAGGTCCAAAGTGGAGGCAAAGGGCCCCGCACATCAAGCAGCCAGCTGGTGGCAGCCCGGGGGCACTTGCAAGCTTAGGTGAGGCTGCTCCCTCCTTGGAGGACAATTCCTTGGAAGGGACTCAGCTGTGAGCAGCCAGCAGGCAACACTTGGACTGAGTGCCTTTGTCCTGAAGAGGTAATCTGGGAACACACCAAGGCATTCTCGACAGTCCCACTAAGACTGCAGGTCCCTGAGAGCATCTGTCAACAGCCTGGGACCATTTTCAGTCTCAGGGAACGGTATGCAGTTCATACGACACACACACTCCAATGCATCCAGGTTCTGGATTCACGAACAGGTTGCTGCACATGCCTGATGGCTCGAGGGTGTCCTTTTCCATTTGGTTCCCTTCAACACTGGGGATGAATGAGGTCCTTTAAGAAAGAGTTGGGAGGGAGACCAGATTTTGACCGTGCCAAGCAGGCACCAGAACCTTCTCTCCAGGGGTAGCCCAGAGGCAGGAAATAGCAGAGAGAGATGGGCATGGGCTGTATCTGGCAGGCTCCTTTTTCCTTTTTGCAAGCCCTGGAATGAAGGCATTGTCCATTGTCCACACTCCTGTGGCAAGGAGTCCAGGGCACCATCCCAAATGGCACACGAAATGGAGAGGTGTTTCCCCAGAAGAGGAAGAACCCAGAAAGCAGCCCTGGAAGTTAAAAAATGTGCTCCAACTGCCAGGCCTTCTCTCC